GCGGGGGGAGGGAGGGGGTAACAGAAAAGAGTGTGTTTTGTACTCTTTTGAAATTTTGATAATTATGGATGACCCCTAATTAGGTATGATTTCGTGTATTTTCAGGTACTATAGATGATCTGGCTATGGATGTTTTTGGAGCTGTATATATCATACTTTTCTATACCTTCATGGTAAGAATAAATGTTACAATTCCAACATTATATTTCAATTACATTATTTTTAACTTTTGAGTAACAATTAACAATAGTTACTGTGAAATTTCTAAATTGTATTTTGGCCGAATGCTGTAATTTTTTTAAATATATATAACTGTGTTCATTGAGTTGATAGGGACACAGATATTGTTTAGAGTAGATTTTTTTTTATTATGAAGGGAATAAATCAATTCAGAGTAATAATTACAGATTTGTTCAGGACTCTCAGCAGCCTTAGCCATTCGAATTGGCCAAAGTTTAGGTAAAAATGATCCCGATACGGCTAAAGTGTCTGTGCAAGTAGCATTTGTATCGTGCTGTAAGTATAGTCCTCTATTTTATTCAAACAAATATTAGGCCTATGTAAGATAGGAGTGTCTACAGTTATCTAGGCTTCCTTTTGTACAGTTATTTGGTCATATTTCATATTAATGGAAATTTTAAAACGTCCCCGAGACACAAGAATGTGCATAGCAATCGAATAACAGATTTGGAACGGAGTGCTTATGTTGGTTATGTAAAACGGTTTGGTGGAATACAAAAAAAACCCCCCAAAAAACACCTATATCTCCCATTTGAGACGAGACTGAGTGCTGCAATCCGTACCGTAGTGTGGGGAGGTTGCTTGATACTAAAGCTTTCCTATTAAATGTACGCAGCCAAACATTGTAATTATTATTATTATTATTATCAGGCCAAAATAAAAAATAATACAATTTGTTGTGACGTCACTTTGATGACGTGTTCATTGAGATTGACAAGTATTGTGATTCATGATAGGCCTACTACGTCACACGTTGTTCATTTATAAAAGTAGCTTACCGTCTCAAAAATTCTACAACAAATTAAAGGTCGTCGTGAAAGATTATACACGACCATCTTCATAAAACTTTACCTCTCCATCCCACCTATTGAACTCCAATGTTTCGCACCCACATTCAGTAGAACATGCCAGCTAAAACTCCCTGGTCTTACCAGACGTCTCGTCTCGTAACAACCAACTTCATTTTGTCTATCCCATATTTTCCCACTCCCACCTCTAAATGCACCCTGCTCTTAAGCATTTTCACACACCTCACTCTGGTGCCGTTGCCGTTGGGTTTCTCTACCAACTGAGGTATGAAACTATTGTTGCTATAAAGAACACGTATGACAATGTTAAATAATTTTGAAGGAAATGAATTAAAGAAAAATCATTCGAAATATTGTTGCAATTCAAATAAGATAACAATATGGTACGATTATATTTCGTATAATTTGCATTTATTTTAGGGATATATGCCGTTATTGTGTCTTGTCTACTTTTTGGATTCCGAAACTATATTGGATACTTGTTCACAGATGATAGGTAAGTAATGCATATGTAGGGTTATGTATTGTTTTTGAAAACATTGTTTTATGTCTAGAGAAAGGATATGAAATGACGATGTTTACATTCAAGGTTTTTGTGATTTTATATTTTAACTAGTATCGTATTGAGGCTCAAATTCGGTATATTATTAACATATCTTTACAGGGCAATTATTGACGGTATTGCTGATATTGCTTTTGTGATAATCATCTATGAGATAAGTGACATGACGGGGGTATGTACAATCAATCAGTGTATTTGTTAAATTTTACAAGAGCGTTATACTTATTC